ACTTTTGAGAGAATGAAACTAATTCAAATCAATACACACAAACAGTGACAAAAGGAGTTTCTATTTATATATTTTCTGCCTTGAATGGCCTTGACGTTCTATAAAACCTTTACTTTAATGGACTACTGCCCTTTTTGGGGTGTAGTCTGGTCCCATTATAAGGATTCCAAGAAAAGAAAGATGTTCAGTAAAATTTATGGTTGTTTCTAATAAATAATTATTTCTTAAAACCAAATTTGCTTGCCAAAAGGCTCAAAATGGCAAATCTAACCTTCCATATCTTGAAGTTTTTTGGAGGGGGGAGGGGAGGGGGCATGCTGCAAGAACCCCTTGGAGGCTCGTGCCTGTGGTACTCACTTCTCCCGCCGCCTACTTTTATATTTCAGCCGTCTACATCAAAACTTAATGAGAACCCTGCAGTTATCAAACTCCCCATAACACTGTTTCTATTTAGCACTCTCCTTCATTTGCAATTGTAATTTTGTCAGGTGCAATGAACCATTTCTCATCATTCCAAACTAAAAAAATTTACAACCTCTGGAAAGGCTGGGACATCCCTAAATCATTTGTATAGTTTAGTGTATACATACATGTTCCCTTCAAAACCCACAGTTCAAACCAATCAATGTAAAGGACAGCAGTGACCCTTCTTAGGCTCCTAGTTCCTTGAGTATACTACCAGAGTTGTAATGATACCGGAGAATTCTTCCCAGTTTGCATGTGAAAAACCACAAATTCTGCTCCATTGAATTATTTCCATAAAACACCTTCAACCAATTCTCCCCTTACCTATCCTTGGACAAGTTTATAAGGATCACACTTGTCTGGCTTAGAGATATTTGATAACATATCGGCTTTTTAAGGGAATAAAATCAAGTAAACTTGAGAAATTAACGGAAAAATCAATTTTACAAACCGTAAAAGGATATAATTTGCAAGAGCCTACATGCGGGAAAGAGGTTATTTTTTGGCCGAGCAGATCCAGCGTGGAAACTCTCTCATTAATTTGAATATTCAACTCTGTCTACTAGCAAATAAACGGGCAAAAAAAACGCATCTCTCCTAAAAATCAAACGTTGACCAATTTCCCATTCAGAAACCTATACAAATCTCATCAAATGTGTGCCAAGTCTAATATCATCTCGATCATAAAAGGCCGAGTTCACCGTCTATTCCTTGATGTCTATCTCTTACCCGTGAATTTGTTGATTTCATAATGCAAGATCTTTCAAATGATTTGTCTTGGTAGAGAAATTAAAATTTGGACAGCGTGTACCGCGTGAAATTGGAATCATACCTCGAACATAACTTGACATGCAAAACAAAACACCCGCGTTGAACACAAGGTCCCCGCTCGCTATGCGGATGAAAACGAATTTATCTCTAACTCGCTGCTCTCGGCGACGGCCTTAGCCAACACCAAAAGTGACAATTAGTGACTAGACCCTACCTCGGAGGTTTGGGAGTCGAGGCTTGTCATTATGAATGTTAGATATCTGTCAAGTTAGCGCAATGAGGGGTTCTTCCAACAAAATGGCGACCAAGCGACTATCCGAAAACCACGTGGTATGAGTGAGTACAACTGGGCATCACGGGATTTCAGAGTGAAAAGGCGTCACTGCTAAAACGGATGATGAGCCCAGGCTTCCACATCCTCGGTGACCCAGGGGCTGTGAGTCGATTTCAAGTTAAGGGCAGAAGAGCTGCTTCTACTTCAAGAGAATGGAGAAACCTCTCGGGACAAAGAAAGACCGAACGCGGGAAAACTGCATAAATTGAGCCGTTCACCAGGCCCTTGAAAAATATACGACTTCTCTTCTAAATTTATACTAGAAGCCTGTATTAGAAGGCACGACACAAAAACACTACAAGGGAGAAGTATAACACATTTCGTGACACTTACTAGCTAAATCGGACGAAAATTGAGAGAAAACAGAGGAACTTAAATGACGTCGCTATTTCTTTAATTCGGTCATACATCAGATACAGAATGGTGTATTTTGTTGAGAAAGAAGAGTGACAACCATTACAGCATTTAATAGTCCATTTTTAATTGTAACATCAGTTTTCATGAGAAAATCATTCTACACATTACCTTACATGATTAAATTACCTACAAAATTTAGTTTCGAATAAGTAATTCAACCAAACCTTTGACTGGAATTGTTTGAAGTGACGCCTTAACTATCTCACATTAATTACCTTCTTTCATTTCCACCTCCACCAAACCTTCCTCGTCCCCCACCAAAGCCTCCTGATCGGTCATAGGGTCCAGGTCTGGTTGACAACAAAGGTTTAAGTTTTGGGGCAGATACGTATTTGATATCTGTTTTTTCGCTTTTAAATATCACCTCATTCGAGTGCAGTACTGTTGAAAACGCGCCAATATTACATATTCGCTATAAAAAGGGAAAACCTTTAGAAAAAATAAGGTAACCCCGCTAGGAAAGAATATAAGCAGTTATCTGTACCTTTTAGCCTGGAAAGCAGCTTTTGAAGACCACCATAAAATCGATATTACCGACGAACAAACCTCCTGAACCCACCAACCAACACTTAGTAGACACCAAACCGACATCACACTTTCCATATCTATCCAAGGGCCCGTTTCTCGAAAGTCCCTATCCTTACCAGTCCCGTAAAGACCTTTTTAGTTCCCGCATTCACGTTAAAGATTCAGATATAAATATTTTTCACGTTTCCACAATAAAAAATTTCAGGAAACAAAGCAGAATGGCCACGTGTTTGAACTGAGACCCACAATGCTTACCATTAGGTGTCGGCTTCACAGTATGGCTTCGAGACCCAAATGTAGCTGAGCCCTTCGAGAGCCGGGCCCCAAAAGACCTACGTCAAGATAATTTCAGTCATGTGAAAGAAAAATATCGAAGAGAAAAGATAAGCTGACACCAAACAATTATGATTAACCATTACTGGTTAATAATGCATCCTGGCCAATAAAAAATAAACTCAACCTTTCTCACAGTGTTGTAACCAATGTACCAGTCTGGCTTTACGTGCCTTGAAAAAAATTAGAATACATTTCTCAGTTTTAACGTTTCAAATCCCTTTCATTTTTCTCTATCCGTTGCTAACTTCGTTTCCTCTTGGTTTACTATCAAATCCGCTGTACTTTTCTATATTTTGAGGTCTCTTTCAAGCTGAAGGCAGTTTTTCCCGGGACAGAACATGACCTTAAAAATTTTGACGTAGTTCTCTAGACATCTAAAAGTCTCGGCATGACTCCCTTTAATCATTAATACTAGGCACATTATTCACACGATACAATCTAAATTGAGAAACCACACGACCTCATTAAAATGCCAATTTTTCCTTAACTGCGCTCGATATTTTCAGGGAAGAAATACAATTCCTTGCGTAGCATGGACACGATGCTAGAAATCTGGCGCTTGCTGTCGGAGTAGTGGTCGCCAGTTCGCGACTTGTAGGTGGACACCATGGCGTTGACACGGGTCAGCATACGAAGAATATCCATGCGCTCCGCGTTGTCTTCAAACACCTTCGTCAGCGACTGAATGAACCACGATCCATTGACAGAATTCCTCCATGAGTAGTAGCCGGGCACAGTGGAGTAGGCGTAAAGGAAGTCTGCCTCAGCTGGGACAGAGACTCGATTATCTTGCGGGGCGTCTGTTACGTCCATGCCGTCCATGTACTCGTGACCTTAAAGTTTGCAAATAAAAAAATGGGAAAATTTAAAAAACCAAGATTAAAAATGCAAATGAAACATAGCTCAGGATGGGTTTGGAGCAAGTTCAATCAATTGGGTGTTGAAAGGAGTCCAGGGGTTGACTGAGTTTTGCTTTCCTTGGCTGCGTGATTGGTACAAAAAAACTTGGGCTACTTTCTAAATCAATCTAGTTTCTGAAGCAAGAAGCGACAAAAACACTGCTACTCCTTAAAGAAGAAATAGTTGATCGCAAGTGACTCGCTAGCAATTTGTTATGTTTCCTTTACGTTACAACCCTGAGTGGAAAGAGACTGTGAGATCAAATTTTGATTATGGATCATAAAGCCCTCAGTCTTCCCAAATAGGCAACCACAATTGATTTCCTTCAAGCTGAACCCGAGGTATCACTGCGTTGAAATACTGCACGTTACCATTTGAATTTAATTTTTAAATTAGCTCACCCTGACATGCTTGGAAGAAAAAGAGTTTTGGCTTCCCGGCTAAAGACGCGGAATATTTGAACTCTGATGTGATCTCCTTGATGGTAAGGGTCCCGTCTGTTCCATAAATCACACCCTCTTCACCGTGTGTAAGGATCGAGAAAATGAAGGCATCGTAGTTGGAATGGTTGTAAGTTGCCATATCCTTTGCAATTCTATTTATCTCAGCCCTGGTACGATTATTGTAAACCCTAACATCAAACTTAAGCATTCTGAAAAGCTTCAGTAGGGCATCTCGATCGACATCTGTTCCATTGCGAGGATACCGATCCATTCCTGAGCTCCTCAAGAACTCCTTATTGTTAATGATAATGGCAATCCCCCGTGTTCCGCGCTCCATCTTGTAAACGGTCTCCGTGTCCAAAGTGTTGGAGGAGGGTTTGACACCAGAGCTGCCTCCAAACGAAAACAGTTTAGCATCAGCTTGATCTGCATGTTCTGAAAAATGGAACAGACATGTTTGGAATTTAAGCTATGTACCCAGAAACCGTCATCACTAACAGTTACAAGTCTACAATAGTCTACAAGGTACGTATCACAACTACAAGGCGGATGACAGAGAAGTAGCTGCTGCACCTAGCAGTAATCTCAGTAGAAGTGCACGTTTAACAGTGCTCAATGAAAATAGTACAAAACAATTAATAAACGCTACTAAAGATATCGTTGAGGTGCGATTAAAAAATACAATTAATAATAGACCTGTTCTCTTTTGAAAATTACTGATCACAAGAAGCTAGCAGTTTAAGGCTATATGCTATGATGGGATTCAGTTCTGTTCAGAGGATGCTTGACAGTATCATGTGGTAACCGTGGCGGACATTTCCCATTCCAATTGGCCAAATAGAAGAAGCGCGATCGCAGAAGTAGTCGCAGAGAGAAACAAGAAGGAAAGGGAAAAAAGAGAGAATTTTGACAATTCTGAAAAGCTTATATCAGCACGGCTAAGAAAACCATCAATCTGACTAACTTAATCCAGCAGGAAATTAGCAGCCACTAAAATGTCATAAACGACTTTGCAGTAAACTGTAAATAAAGTTTCTTGCTTAGTCACTTACAATCTTACGAAGCAAGTGAGTACTCAAGCATCCAATTGAACTTGAATTCGATGAGTGAGACAAAAATGTAACATTGATTTACAGCTGGACCAAGGGACAGAGATCAAACTTAAAATAATCCTGAGTACATGAAGAAATGATATAGGGCGTTTTTAAGCACATAAGGAAAAGTGGGTTGAGCAAGGGGAAAAATTACAGCCAAACTTGCTTGGTTATTGCTTGTAATCGAGAGCCTAGCAGATGATTTATTAATGTTGGAAAAGGTGGCAGAAATGACGAGTATGGTTGAGAGATGCGTGTGTTGTGAGTGATATGATGTGCAAAGCTTGACAAAGTTCCTGTGCCGACAGTATAACGATGGCAAGTATATCAATTATGTAAGGAAATTTAATTCAAGATTTTCAATACAATATATTACAAAATACTTTCCAAACAATATAGTTTTTTTTTAAAAATAAAAACAGGAAATAGTAAATACGCATTCTTACTTTGTAGCTTAATTTAAAATTGAAACACAGCAGAGAAGTGAAAAATATTTTTGTACAACATGTACCAAGTTCATTGTCAGCAATTGCTATTCTTCTTCTTTCTCTAATTCGTCCAAGATCAGAGATTTCTTTTCTTTTGACCAGTCTTTCTGTGAAATAACTTATGACTTAGTGACTGGTACACAAGTTAACAATAAGCAATTTTAGGAATTTATATTAATTAAAATCATCAAAATATTTTTAAACTAGGAAATTCATTGCATATTTTTCATTTAATATAGTTATCATTGCTGTAACAACAAAAAGTACATTAACCTTTTTTATATCTTTTTTCATTTATCAAAAAGTTTAAAATAAGTATTAAATAACTACAAATAAAGTAAAGGGTGATAGTTTCGAAAGAAACTGTCTGGGGCTGCGTCGGTGGGAGTAACGAAATAACTTGGATATATCAACAAAGTTGAAGTGGTAAATTGGCAACCATAACGATTACAAAAGCTGACGTTTCGAGCGTTAGCCCTTCGTTACAAATAAAGTAGTTTCACACAGCCTCTATCATGCCAAACACTGAAGACATGGTGTCAATGACAGAAAATAAGAGCATTTCAGTAGTAGAAACCAACACCATAAATACAATACACCTAAAAACTGTTAAATGTAGTTTAGCAAAAAATGCTCAATTCAACTTATTTCCTTTTCCTAATTTTTAACCCTAGAAAAGGCAATTTTTAATCAAATATTAGTTTTATTAGTTTTAACAAACTATAGATAAAATTCATCTGGAAAAAATAATGACTCCAGCTCTTCTAATGCAATTTAAGTTTTTCTTTTAATCAAAATTTTTTACTTGTGTGCTTATTAATTGCTGTTAAATTGCCTGAACTGTCATCTGCTACATGATGGTTCAGGAACACATCTGCCCATCCCATCTTGGTACAAGGTTATTCTGATATCCATATATCATAATCACATAATCCTAAATTTTTAGAAAGTCTTTTACACTTTGGGTTCATTCTACCTTTTTTTCCAGAAAGATACATTTTCTGCTGTCCACATTCCAGTATACCTGGTTATGAACTGTATATTGAATTAACAGCCTCTCTGACATGTCAAGCCCATACAGTTTTCAGCATTGTTAAAATTACGTGTTTGTTTTAATGCCTCTACATGACTATAAAAGACAATTTTTTAAAATAAAATGTAAAAAAAGGTGATAACATTACAAAAAAAAAAAAAAATGCTTTGGGAAGTCTGGGTGCCAATAGGTTAAAGCAATACAATAACATGAATTGCAAAGTGTAGATGACAAAGCAGTTGTGCAACTACAACAGTTTATAAGCTTATGATAGTTTACAACTTGAACCACCATTTTTCTCCTGACTCTCTTGATTGAACACTTCTGTACAACCAAGTTTTTCAGGAAAGAAGTACAAGTCTTTTCTCAGCATTGAAACAATAGAGGGTATCTGCCTCTTGTTGTTAAACATGGGAATGTCACTCCGTGACTCAAACTCAGATACCATGGAATTGACTCTGGTCAACATTTTGAGAAGATCCATGTGGTCAGCATTCTCTTTTAACACTTTTGCTACTGACTGGATAAACCATGATCCACTTGAAGAATTCCTCCAAGAATAGTACCCTGCTACAGTGGAGTATGCAAATAAAAAATCTGCCTCCACTGGGACAGATGCTCTCTTGCCATGCTGAGTACCATCTGGGATATCAACTCCTTCCATAAACTTCTGACCTGCAAATTAATAAAAGATTAGATAAGATAAGATAAGACCTTTATTTAAACACAATAATAATTAAAGCTAACAGCTTGAGGGGTCGTGTATTTAGTTTATACATTATTTAAATAAGAAGATGACTAGCTAAATAAGTAAAAGGCTAACACTAACATCTCAATCAAACATAGAGAAAGTCAACATTTTTTGGGTGGACAGCTGAAGCTGAATCAATATTAAATTTCAAATCTCTAAAATAAGGCTTTGTTTTCAAATTTCAAAACAGCTCATTCGGGTTTTTGTGCAAGATATTACATTTATAGTGTTCCAAAAGATTGTACCTCTATAGGCAAGGGAATCTTTCATAAACCTAGTATTAAATCTTGGAACTATCAGTGAGTCGTCTCCTCTCAAGGAATAACCATTGGAATGTTTGATGTAAATATCCTTCTATAATAGTTGTGGGAGAGACTCATTATGTGCTTTATAGAAAAGTTTAAAAATATCCATCTTGTAGAGTGAAAAGAAAAATGGTTCACCTACAAGACCAAAAATATTGTTCTCATTGTAGCTGCAGAGATCATTCTCCTAATGGTAAGCATGCAAAATTGACATCATTACAAGTCATTTTTAATTATAAAGGTATGGACAAATTCTAAAACTGTTCATATTTGGAGGTCGTGTCACTGAAAATATAACCTGCTCCCCCAGTAGTACAAATGCTATTTTTCCCCAACGTGAAATACACTTTTCCTCTACTTTAAAGATCACAATGCAAAGGGTTCTAAAATTAATTTTCTGTCTGGTTCAACACTTGGTTGCAATTTTCTACCACTTGCCAATTAGGACAAGTCTACAACTAAAGCAGTGGGGTGCAGAGCTTGAGGCCAACTTCAGGGAAATTTGTGAATATTACTCCAGATAAATAAAAAATTCAAAACTTATAGACATAAGTGCAAAGGTCTCATCTCAGGGAGGAATGCCTCTAATGTACCAATAAATTTCTGAATCTTGGACACTGCCTTTGTTTGTCCTAGTTTGAATTTGACAGAAAAACACTGCAATTGATACCTTGACAAGCTTGAAAGAAGAAGATCTTAGGTTTCCCAGCCAAAGAAGCTGTAGATGTGAACCTGGAGGTTATTTCATCCACTGGAACTGTACCATCTGTTCCATACACCACACCTTCTTCACCGTGTGACAAAATACAGAAGATGAAGGCATCATAGTTTGAATGATCCAGTTTTGACAGTTTTCTTACAATCTCCACGATTTCAGCTGTGGTTTTGTCATTGTGAACCTCCACTTTGAACAGAAGCTTTTGAAAAAGCTTTTTCAGAGCATCACGGTCCAGGTCTGTACCTCCACGCGACGTCTGTCTGGTTTTTTCTTGGAATGTCTTGTTGTTAATAATGACAGCTATGCCTCTGGGTTGACAAGCCATTCTATAAATTGAATCATAGCTGACAGACACCTGTGCGAAAGGCTGTGGATGAACACTCTTTTGTTCTACCTGTTCTACTTGGTTGTCTTTTTCTGAAAATAGGAAAAAAAATTCTAAATTCATTCTTGCACCTTATAACTGTCAAAGCCAACTGGTAAAAAGTCATGAAAGGTTGGTGCTAGTTTGCAATGAAACCGTATTCTCATACCTTTTTGCAAGATAATGCACTCAAACTGTAAGAAGTTACATGTCAATTGCCAATATCACTTTAGGGGTTAATAAACAATCATAAACACCACTTGTAATTAAAGAGATCATATTCCACTTTATCAGTACTAGTTACCAAACCCCTACTGGAGATGTTCTAATTACAGCATGTCCTATTTAAGAGAAAACACACTTCTGTGATCCACATAGAACATTTCTAAATCATATTCTAGTCCTAAATGACCGAGGTTTCATTCCAGCACTACTAGATCGATCAGAAACCTATATTACCAACTACAGGGCAAACATAAGAGTAAAATCCATTTATTTCATGCAAAAAAATCAACTAGCTCTCCAAACTAAATAAATTACACTGCATGCTATCAGCTTGTTTTAAGTCCAGTTTTTTCTAAAATGGAATTAAATAGGAGTATTTCTACTGGATAGGGCCTCAGCCAGTGTTGGTCACCTCCCTTTCATCATTTTGGCAGGTCATGTTACAGTTCACCAGTACCAGTGCTCTCCTCTAGAGGGAGAGGAGAAAAGGCACTATGAGAATAAGACATCTTTCAAGTACTCTTGACTAATATTTACATATTGAAACAGTCCTGTGTCACTAACTTTTTAGTTTGATTGCAAACCAAAGACCAATTACCTAATGGTATCAAATCCCTTTATATCTTGGTGCAGCTACCTCACAGAGGTGTAAATTAAGTAGCACGTGCTTTAAGTTATGCTTAAATGTTAGCTGCATTACAAAAATAATTGGTTAAAATCTCAGTTCAACTGGCTATAGCTTTCTGGAGGTCGCTGCCCTCTACTAGATATTTCTTTTAATGTTAACTATCAGACTATTGAGCAACAGTTTGCTGATGCCCATGTACAGTGTATACTGGTGTATAAGGGTGGGGAGACATAATGCAAGAGTAAAGTATCTTGACCACACCTAGTTACAACACAGTCAATGACCAAGCCAGGGCTTAAACCCTGACCAACCTCTTGACCTTGAGTCCACTGTGCTATCCATTTAATATTAATATCAAAATTAAAATCAGAATCTAATGAATTTAATAGCAAAGACTTTGAATGGCTTACCTGACATTTTGAACTCAAGTCCAAGTTTGTTACTTCTGTTCCACATGCTTTAAAGCTTCATTCTTTTTTGTGACTGTGGCGTTGTTAGAAGGATATCCCAAACCCGAAAAAAACTGCTTTTATCTCCTTTTCCAGAAAAAAAAAATGCAGATCCAGCTTTTTAATAAGAAATTGCATTTGACAAACTTAAGGTGAATGCATCCTCATCAAGCCACTTTTTCAGGGTCGATTTCCTGCAGGTATTGATCCAGATGATATCAAAATCCAGGCTTTGGAAACATCTGGTTGGCTGGCTAGCTGGCTGGCTAGGTGGCTCGCTTGCTGGCTGGCCACCTCGGTGCACTTATCCGTGATTGCATTAATATGAAAACACTAAATGATCTTTGGCAAAAGTGTTTCAAGTTTCAATTTTAAAACAGCAGAATGCTAAAATTGGAAATTCCCATTTGCAGGTAAATGCCATTTCAAATGCCACATTTTGGCTTTTTTTCTGTAGGGAGAGGATTTTGTTTACCAGCTCAACCCCACAAATCTTAGTCAAAGTACACATGTGTACTTGCAAGCAATGTTGTAAAAACACCTGTCATTCATATTTAATTTGTCTGTATGGTTGGGTTTTAGCGAGTGTATAACTAAACTAAAACAAAAGAAGAAGAGGCTGACTGAATCAATTAAATGATCAGAGCAAAATTTTGAAATAAGAAGCTCGTAGTCATAACAGGTAATGCAGCAAAATTAGCTATAGTCCCAATTTAATGCCTGGTATTAAAGATGATACTAATGTTACCAATTTCCTCAAAGAACATGTCTATGCTGCCAGCACCAGAATAACTGTTTAACTAAGGACTATCTAAGTTATCACTGGGTTAAAAGACTACGAAATAAAGGTAAGGTGGCCACTTAGCAAACAGTGCATTTAAATACACTTTTGAGTGATAGAGGGTGAGGATTTTTTTTTTCAAACTAATGAAAAAAAACTAAGAACAGAATTCTTAACAAAACAACAGTTGCAAACCAAAGAGTAGCATTACTGCAAGAAAGTGGGAACACTGAAACAATCTAACATACATTAATTTTTTTTCATCATACAAGAAAACAATCAAAAGCAATTCTCCCAAAAATTCATTTGATAATTGTTTTCAAATCTTTTAACATTGATAGAACACAAACCAAATACTAATACTTGATCTTTCAAAATCACAAGTAAGCAGGAATTGATTTGAGAACTGATGGTATCGGTCAGCCAGTTGGTGACATATATTAGGTAGCTTGATTGTCCAAGCTGGGGTAATTTTCAAAAGGACCCTTGTCAGAAGTGTGATAACTACCTTTGACAAAGCTATTGGAAGTTGGAATCAGAATCAAAGTTTTGTTCCTTAATCTTCTGTGAATGCTTCTAGATATGGATAATATTGAGATTTTAGTTATTACTTGTTTCCTTCAACTGAGATTGATCATACCTAGACAAAGTTTTTTAAGAGTGAATGGTCAAGTTTGACTTGTTAGGACAGCTGTTTACAGCTTTACAAAAATAGCTGATCTCACCTCTATAAATAATTTTGAACAATTAATACTATTATTCAAGAGGATTCATATGATAAAGCATTCTAATCACTGTACCTGCTGCACCTGGATTGATAGTGCTTGGAATTGGATTCTTGTTGCCGATTCCACCATCAGTACCTTCAGTTGGCATACCTGAGTGTCAAGAGAATAAGATCTTGATGTCTACTAGCTCCTTTTCATATATGGCTTCAAAACTATGGAACTCTCTTCTGGGGCCCGTTTCTCGAAAGTCCCGGTAACTTAACGAACCCGAAACCATGTTTTAAAATCCAAATTTAAAGAATAAGAAAGCAGGTTCGGGCACCCAAACCAGTCCTTTTTGTTTCTTTAGCTAATAGTTTTGTAGTATCATTTTCAAAACTTTTTAAATCCACATCTTGAATGAAAACAGAACAGCTTTACGGGCCCGTTAAGTTACCGGGACTTTCAAGAAACGGGCCCCTGGACTCTTTTAGAATGTCTGACTTTTCTGATTTCAAGCGCAAGATTCTACAGTATGAATCTTTCTCATAGTTCAATTTTAGAATGTTACAATTTTACATTTACATTTTAGTAGTATTTAGAATTATACTTGTAACTGGAAGATACTAGCTTATCCTTTAGCTACTCCAAATTCGAGATCAAATAAAGTATATGTATGTATGTATGTACTATTACATAAAAAAAGCCACAAGAAAACAGCTGATCAACAGTTCACAAGTCTTTATGCTTCAGAGCAAATTATCTGACACATTTGACAATGAATACTAATATTGTAGTTTGATTAGGTATGTCAATAAAATGTATGTATGTATTTATTTATGAATATTTATACAGGGTAGCCCAGTTTAGCAGATAGCTAGTTTAAATGGAGCCCTGTGGACACCCACCCATTCTACCCAGGGTAAGACATCCACCACACAGTAATCTCGTGCGTGGGAAATTAACATCTCCTACCCCTTACCCTGCAGGAGACGGGGCCTACGGTTTATTTGTCCTTATCGGAGAAGACTAGAATATCTACCGATTTCTTAATATTATTATTATAAAAGACCAATAGATCTATCAACAGAGTTCAAACCTATCAAATCTGAAAAACATTTTGAGCCTGAACAGATGTTCAAGGCCAGCTATATTGATACTGGTTAATGGGGATGTCTTAAATTTTCTGTGCAGATAAGTCCCTCAGCTGTTAAAAGTACAATATGTGAAAATTTCTAAAAACTGGAGGAACTACACACCAAAATACATCCTGTAAAGCTACTGAATAGGTTACTCCGGAAAATATGCTACATAAAACTAACGTGTGCTGTACTATCACTTTCCTTTTCTACTCAGTCCAGGGGTTTACATTGTGTATTCACTTTCTATTAATATGCTAAATTCTTTCAGAGGGATTTTCCCTGAACTGTCACACTGCAGAAAAAATAACGAGGCTGAGTCAATCGTCAAAAATAAGTCCAAAAGGTTGGTTGTCATTCAGAAATACTGCAACATGACGAACAAGTCGAGTGAAACTCCACGCGCGAATATCAGCATAAATGATTTCATATGGCCAAATTAGTTGTTCAAAGAAGTACTTGTGTTTCACAATTAGCAAGCCAAATAATTACCATGATTAGATTCAGCGAGAGAAAGAGTTCTAAGGCCATACATGCGCAAGCCAAGGCGTCCTAGTTATCATGCACACACCCGAACTTTTTTTAATTGTGAACGTTTACTTATATAAAATTGATAACAAACTCAATCTTACCCTCTTCTTGAATTGGCCTTAGAAGTGACTCCAAATGAGGGGACACTTCGTGCAATATGTCGCAAAATGTATTGAAAGCTTTTGGTCCTTTACGAGGAAGAATGTCCAATAAAGCCTCTCCTTGCTCGTTCTTTGTTTCTTTAGAGTTCACTTCGTCCTTGTCTTCGTCACTGAAAATCGCCTTGGAAAAGAGCCGCGAAGCGATCCTTTTTGCCTCTAAATCCTTCAACAAAGCCTGCCTGTTTTTACGAAGTGCTTCCCTCTCTGAATCCTGCATATTGGCGCAAATCTAAAGAAAATTTTCAACTATGAAGCGCTTTGAAATTTTATTCTCTTCGCGACTGCTCGTTCCCGGGACGGAGCTGAATAACGTACACACGCATGCGCTAGATTTTGCCGCTGAAGCAGGTAGCCTTGCTATGACGTGACGTCATTCGACTGAACACCAGTGCTGCTCGGTCGCAAAATCACTTGCCAGACAACGCGCTCTTGTTCCAAACTAATGTAACCACCTTACAAAGATATATTACTGCAATTTGTCTGGCCAGGAAGACTTCTAGAGAAACTCGACGGAGCCGAGTTTCTTTTTCTTCGGGAAACACATATTTCGCGAGTAACTTTTTAAGTGACAGGGGGAGCTGGTAAGTTAAAAAAATATTTTTAATCGAAAGCGGTTCACCATCAAGTTCCTGGGATCGAAAATTCTTTGGAAATCACTTTGCCCTTTGTTTCATATTTTTCCTGTTTTAATCTTTAACCCGTAAGGCATGCTTATTTTAGAAACTAGAGGAGAATATCCGTTGACAAATATTTACAGCAGTCTTCGAGAGTACACAATAGTACTATTTTTTTTCAGGGTGGTGGAACTATTTTTGTACTTATCACATTCAAACAGACCGGCGCACATAAAGGCTGGACTTTCTGGGCAAAGTACCTCACGGTGATAAGGGTGAGGGAGAGATATTAAGCAAAATTTTCATTTGGATTGCAAATGGCAAAATGCACAGTAACTTAGCGATGGGGTGGGGGAGGGGGGAGCTGGTGTAATGTCATTTGGAAATCGTCTGTCCCTTCCAGCTTTCATTTTATCCTCATATGCATATGACCTTCTCCATATTTGGGAGTTGTTTTAGATCACCTCCTCATCTCATGAGGAATGTGGTCTCACTTTCATGAATAAAAACCTGTTCCTGCTTTGAACTGTCTTCGAACACAACAATGCCTATATTTCATGAATAACCATATCAGTTGTAAAACTTGTTTACTCCATTTTAATTCAATTATTTCTCTTGACTACCCATCTCCTTCACTTTTCTTAGGACAGTCCCAGTTTTAGGCCTTTTTTTTTTTTCATATCCCCACCCCCACAAAAAAAAAATTCTATAAGCACCACCCTACATAAAAACAAGCAGTCTCTAATTAAACAACAGAGTGTTTCTGTGGAGGAACTATCGGCTGATAGTTGCACCGTGGAAATTTGATGTTCATACAACAAATATGCTAGTTTTAAGAACATCAAACTTCCAAGAGGCAACTATCAGACCGATAGTTCGGAGACATAAACACTCTATTGTTTTTATTGTTCACCACTAAATTTTCTTCCGCACCTACAGCTTGTCACAAATGTCAATAATTCGCAACCGTACATTGGCTAAATAATACGTTATACCTGTCAGAATTGAAAAGTCACTGTTTTTCNTCCGGGTATTTTCCGCAAGCGGGCACTATGGGCTGATAGTGTCTCTCCATGGATGAACACTATCGCGTCATGTGATCGATTTAAATCACTAAGAACCGGATAAAATTTAGTGGTGAACTATAATGGAAAATAGGTATTTGCAGAGAACCAAGCTATTTGTTTTCTTGATGTATACAAGGAAGCCTAAATATTTCAGACACCCTCTTGACCAATTAGAAGTGTCCAAAATCAAATCTACTGGAGATTTGTGGACACATTTTCCTTTCACCTTTGCCCATTTAAACACCACTATTTTCCAGCTCTTAGTATTTTTCAACCACTGATGAATATCCTTGATGTTGTTACTTATTTACGACTGCAATACAAAACGGTTAGGCCTGTTTTAAAACCCTACCCTGGTCAGTAGGTAAATGGCTTCATCTTTTATAAATTAAATGCTTTTACCAAGCAAAATTAATCGTTCAATCAGCTGGCCACATCTATTCTGATTGTTAAGGTCATAGTAGACATACAAATATCTTATAGAAAAAAAAAAAAGCAAAAATAAAACGCAAAAAAATACAAATTGTAACATTTGAGTACCAAACCTGTCATCATATAGCAATAACATTTACATGCAATGTCATACATTCATTTAAAAAATAATAATCCTGAATAATACATCTCTATATTACAGTAATGTGCAATAAGAACGAAACACCAAAACAATTAACAGTATTAGGATTCTTTTCAAACAAATTCACCTTTGGAAGAACCAAACTTTTGGTTAAGTGAAGTGATCTTTTCTTCATGCTTAATTGCAAGTAGTGTTGACCTTTGAAAGAATTATTTACAAACACCTTCAACCCTCTACCAAACAGAAGTAATTAAAATGACTTCTCTCAGCAAAATCAGTACATCACCCACCCCATGATGTGAAACCTAGTTCTCCTTACCAACTCATTAGGAAGTATTAGCAGCTAGAAGGGAGAATATATCACAAAATCATGGGTCTTAGGAGTTTAAAAGTCATAATCAAGTGTGATCTTTGGTTGTCTGCCTCACCATATTTCTACCTCTATAAATTAATCTTGAGTGGTGAACACTGAATCTGTTCAAAAATTTGAGTAGGTATTCAAAGAAATTTGTTAAATCACGTTTAATTTCAGCAGTTTCCATACTTTTAGTCAACTCACAGAGGGTATTTTCTGTCTATATGCATATGTAGTGAAGCATGCAAAGAATCGCATTGACAACTACTATGCAGTGCATCAGGCATGCTTTTAACAAATAAAGTTATGTATATTTTGTATTTAAGTAAAATGACCAGTAAGTCAAAGTATGTGAATTGATTAAGTTCCAACCTGTCATTTGTATACTGGTATTTCTGTTTAAATTCCCTTGCATTCTGTACATGTGTATTTTAATTTTGAAACTGAAACCAAACTCTAATCTACGATAATATCCAACTGCAGCTAATTACATTTTATTTGGTCCAATGCCCTTTTGTAAGGGGGGCATTATAGTCTTACATAGTTTTTGAGCATGTCTGAAGCTAGTGACAGTTTGTCATTTTAGAGTCTCCGAGAGTTTTCTCCAATCTGACTTGATTCTTTTTTCTTGTGGTAGAGATTACCTGTACTGGTTTAGTAATCTGATGATTGTCTTTCAGAAGATGGAGGGTGAATTCAAACAATCCACAAGTATTTGTTTCTTTATGCTGTTGTCACACTTGTGCGAGGGCTATCATCATCATGTTTATACGGTTTTTCTATAAAATCCATTGACTTCTTGAGTTTGTTCAATGTTTTCTGCACTCTTAAAGCTGTCAAACGGGCAGTAGGGTGGCTTGCCCAACACTCAGTCATCAGCTTTGCCAGTGTTTGGAGTGACTGTTGTAAAATTGAAAGATTAGTTAAGTGTCAGTATGACTACTTTAAGATGCTCTAGGTATTCATTTTATGCATAAGCTTGCCTTATAACCATGGGAGGAGCTTGTAATTCAAATAGTTTGAGCTGTTCTAATGACACTAAACCTTGCACAAGTTGAGGCTCACCCTCTTTGTTGTTCCTGAAAGACTAATCAGCCAAGCAACTGAACACTACTGCTATCACTGTGTGAATGCCTGACAATGTCTTTTCCTTGCAAACTGCAGTATCACTACCACCTTAACCTCAAAATGTCGCACTCACCTCATCTCTGTACCATCTGTTGGGAACTAGAGGCCGCCTCTTTTCTGTCACCACAACTTTCTTTACTTCATCAAAAGATGGATCTCCAGGTAACATGTCAAAGTATGGAACCTGGTAGTCTTCACACATTCCAGTTTCTGGTAGGAATCAAAATAAAAAAAGAACATAATTTGCACTCTACAGTCCTGTTGACTAAATCCCCAAGTACCTATAGTTATTGTCTCACTCTGTTAAAATTAATGATAAGTGAACTAGATTTTCAATGATGATCAACTTTAAGGGGCTTTTCCCCATTTTGGATGGTTTCCATTTTGGAAAATTGATTTCCTAAGAGGAAAGGCTGGAGTAAACAGGAGGCGAATCAACAAATTTTATGGGAGGAAGTTATTAAGGGAAATCATGGAAAATTAAACATCTCTGGATTTCAGATTTTAAGAGGTTAACAGAACTACTAATCATTTTGCAGTTGATTCTGCAAATGCTAGCATCAAATACACTTTAAGATTACAGCTATCAAACATCTGTTAATTTGCTGTTCTAATAGTATCAAGTATGGAATATGTGAACAGGCTAGCAAATACACTTACCATCAGATATACACCTTCTTGCAATCTCCCACAAGACAAGAGCAAAAGAGTAAATATCTGCCATCTTAAATGCTGCAAAATTTCTAGAATCCAAGTTATTTTCTAACACCTCTGGAGCCATATATCTCCTTGTTCCAACTCTTGTGTCTGGTTTGATGTCAATTTCTTCAGTGTCGGTAGAGTATTTAACTGCAAGTCCAAAGTCTGCAATACAGCAGGTTAGGTTTTCCTTCACAAGTATGTTTTTACTTTTAATATCGCGATGAGCGATTGGAGGTTTGCCTTTAGTTCCTTGTATTTCAGTGTGAAGATGAGTTAGTCCTGCTGAGGCTGACAATGCCAGCTTGAGCATAGTCTTCTTGTTGAGGCAGTGCCCCCTTAAGAAATCATAAAGTGAACCATACGGGTGGTAATCTGAGATCAGATACATCTGAGTCACCTGATTGCTTCCAATAATGTCTGATGCTATGAATCCAAGAATGCTTTCATGGCGAAGTAGAACAGTTTGGTAGATTTCTGTTTCCCTCTGCCAAGACGATTCACAATGTGAAAGGAATATTTTGACAGCCACATCTTCACCTCTCCACCTGGCCTGCCACACTTCTCCATACCTTCCCTTGCCAACACTTCTGATTAGTGTCACTTGCTTGGCTATTGTTCTTTGTACCTACCAAAATAAAATTAATCAAACAGGTACCTCAGTAGGAGATCAGGGTCTACCTGAGAACCTTACAGATTGCTGGTGCCACAAGTAAAAATTTACAGGGCCCTCAACACATGTATAAGCCTTGAGTATGGCCTATCTCACCAATGACTCCTCTGAAGTTCAGATGAAGGAGCATCTGATTGTAAAATTAAAACAGGTTTGAACTCAGATTATCCTTGTCCCACACTTGTAACAAAAAAATCTCTCCTTAACACAATAATTGTAAGTGTTCTCTTGGAAATCAGAACTTTTAATTTTGCCTAGGACACTTGTAGTTTGGTGTGTCACTAAAAAATGTTTTGCATACCAAAAGTGGCAATCCTGAGCCACTGCCAGAGCTCTGATCCAGCATATCTTTCAGTGTTTCACCAGGCATCAAGTATGGATTCCCATACTTCTCCACATCAAGAGGTGATGGAACTCTGCCCCGCGACACTCTAAACCTACAAAAAAATATAAAAAAAAAGTTAGAAGTATGAATCTACCAGTGGCTGAACTATGAATTTGTTTTATGATCAGCTTGCCCCCTATTGTTATGACAAAAAACGATGACATTAAACTACTTTCTTGACACCATGACAGGCACTGGTGACGTTAATTAATTCAAACCGTAAACGGCTATTAAAAACATTCACATAGTTAATGGCTGATTAATTAGAAGCTTCAACATCCCTCCCCTCTCTTACCCTGCCTCACAGGCAACCCATGAGCATTTGACCAAAGGCCACACCAGAGAAGGAAAGGGGTGGAATTTAACCCTTGCCTGGCTAGTGCGGGAGAAATTGGACCAGAAGTGTCAAGTCTTTCCAGCAGAATACAAGTGTTATATCTTTATAAATCCAGGTGTTCACTTTCATAAGCCAGTGGCTCAGAAGAAAAGGTTTACAAGGTCTAGGATATTTGTAGAAAGTAGTTGTCACTGATTTTCCACAAGAAAATTGACAATCAAATCTGGCACAAAGGTTGGGCATTTGAATACAATTTTGGCCCTGGGAGTTGGGAAGTCAAACAAACTAACCATCAGGCTCCAGTTGTTCAAAGGGTGGATAGTGCTATCCAACGGATAAATCACTATCCAGTGGATAAGTGTTACCAAAACGTACTGCACTATCCAACGGATAGGGATTTATTCAATGGATAGCGTTATCCAACCTTCGAACAACCGGGGCCAGAAGTTCAAATGCCTGAGGGTTGCCTGAAGGGGTGGGGGAAGATGTTGAAGCACCAAATTGATCAATGCACTACTTAAAGAAAACATGCATAGTAACATCTTCAAGAGATAGAGCCACACTACTTAGAGTACACAGTGTACTAACCGATAGCAAAGAACGCTGAGGAAGATTATGAAAACCACAACACAAACTCCAGCACTGATGAAGAGGATGGAGTACTGCTCTGTTACACCATCTTCAAGCTCTTTCTCTTCGGTCTCACCTGTGGTAAACAAATAAATGTCACTGAACATGTAGGTTAGCATATGAGGATAAAATCTTGTAACTTTCCTACATGTATTTCTTGTTTGAAGAGTAATCTTAAAAGAAAAGGGTTGCTTAAAATGACAATGAACTATGATTTACTGTATTTGTGAAGAGAGAAACCTTGAAGAGTCATCTGGTCACGAATTTTTATAGAAATAATAATTTAGAAAGGAAGAATTTTTAAAACAAGAACTGGTTTCAAAATTTAAGGCACAGTTTACTTGTGGTTAAATACACCTAAAACAGCATTATAACAAAGTGGAAGTGATATTCCACCACGGGTGAAACTGGGCACGTTCTCCTCATTCAGATGGGGTCCACTCAACCCAATCAGTTGGTCTACATGTCATTTTATGGGCAATTGTGAAGTGAAGAGTGAAAGTGAGATGTTATAATTATAACATTTTCTTCACCAAGCATTGTTTGAGTTAAAAAATTTGCCACTGGAACCTTCATAAACAAGAATCGAGCTGGCATGATTTCATATCATCACTGCAAAATCCATTAGTAGTTGAAAGTCAATATCACTTCTGTAAAATATTGCACCTAACATTAACATCAGAAGACACTTTTAAATAGAGATAGTAGAAGAGTTTACATGCGAGTGAATCACTGGTACTTATCTAGTAAGTAAGTGGCTAAGAGAGAATAAGATGAAAGAAGTGTTCCACTCTAATTCCATGAGTTAAACTACTTCAATCTATTATTAGCAACCTTGCATTCATTAAAATTGATATTTAACCTTAGGTAGCTCAAGTCATGAATATCTTTTTTTTTTTTTCAAATTCTTTCATCAATAATAATTAGAATGTTTTTGTTACTTTCATTTGGAAATGGCAACAGTAACAAAAGAAGTAGACTTGATGAACAAAAGAAAGTATTGGAATAAAAAATTCAGTTTTTGCTCCCTTTGAGAAGTTTATCTCTTAACTAACATACCTGTTAACATACCCAACAAATTCTACAACATTGTGATTCTTAGTGGTAACATGCCATTTATCTCAACTATTTGTCACTGTGGAAAAGACACTTAGATCTCACACTTGCTCCCTTTAGATGGAGTTATTAATGGATCCTAGTAGACATGTACATGTAGTTATGAGCTAGCATTCTTTCCAAAAGGAAAGGCAACATGCACAGTCACTCAATACTGTGAAAAGGAAAATAATAATTTATGCATTGAATTAATGATGCTACAACAGAGCAAGAGCATGTCTAAAACTTTACAATCTGTCACAGCCTTCCCATTCTTAACCATCACTGTTCCTTTCTGAGTATCACCATCATTTTTTGTGTTATGCTATCCACACAAACTACATTGGTTTAACCTAAGAAAAAAGCTGAAGAAGAACCCCACCTGTGGTAGGACTGGGAGTTGTTGGCAAAGTCGGCTCTAAGAAGGTGTTACACATGTCACCATCTTTGCAGCATTCCATAGACAGTTGCTTCTTGTGAACATGGTCTGGTGTGTTGCACTGCATACTTGTCTTTTCATCTGGTGGTAGGCAGCCATATGTGATAAGCTCATAACTGTCATCAACACCAGGTTCCACCTTCTTGTAGCACTTGCCCTCAGTTGTGCAAGTTTCATTGTGATGATCACCAGGGCAGCTATGTGTACTACATCTGCACCTTAGACTTTGGGCTTCTAGCAGTAAAAAAAAAAGATTATAATAATAAAAATAGTCAGAGACTCGTCAACAAACAAGCTTGACTAACTTTAAAACAATAATTTTTCTGTAACTTTTATTGTTATACTCAGATCTCTTTTAAACAATTGCTCTTGTCTATTCCCAAGGTGTCCTTTTCTGGAAAATTCCAATGCACTAGTTACTTATTTTGTAATTATTCTTTAACCTGACAAGTGTTAAGACAGAAAGCTATAAGAGTTGCTTTTTCCAATCCTTTAAACAAATTATCTCCAGGATCAGTGCTTATCCTATTTTATAGTATGGAGAAAGATGATATGTTGAACTAGAAATGCTTCTTTCCAAAATTTGCATTTACAGTGGAGTTATTTTAAGGGTTCTATGTTCATTAATTTAGCCACAGGGTAAAGTTGGAACTGGTGGTTTCACAGTGATTCTAAAAAGAAACAACTAAAATAACAACAATCTAGACTGAGGCACATGCTATTAACTTGTATATTATAACTGGCTTTAAACAATTTTAGTTTTTCAACTCTGGGAGAGCCAGCCAACAACAAACCTACAAAAACCACTGGGGATGAAAAAAAATTAGTAATAATAAAAATGTTTATATAATTTGTTTCAAAGAAGATGAAATATCTAAACCATCTTGCTATCTAAACAGAGGAAAGATATGACTTAAGTCATCCAAAGGAATTAATTTTGTTTACCTTTCATAATCATTTAAATTCTATTTGAAAGTTTGACTCTCTTGTATTATTTAAAAGAAATATAAAACTTTTTAACATACCGATATCACCTATGTATCAAGTAGAAGTTATCATGTACACATACATTTAGAAACTGAGAACATTGTGTTAATGAGAGATCTACTGGAGTGCAAGGATTACCAATTCCTGCGTGACTGCGGAAACTGATATTGCAGACTATAGCAGCATGCTTCTTAAATCAGACATTCTTTCTTTACTTTAAATTCCTAATGCATTAAAACATCCCAAGTGGACTGTCATCAAAGATGAAAAGACTAAAGGAAAAACAATAGCCCCCCCACTTTAACTCAACAAGCACAATACTACTCTTCTCACTCAAATTTTTATCAATGTGCATATCAGCTAAGATCCAAGAATCAATTGTCATCCTACGATATTAATTAGCAGAAGTCAGATATATTGCAAACTGCCTCAATTAAGTTTGTCTTCATTTGCATTTCAAACTGTGTCCTCTTTAATCTCATAGTTTGTTAATTTGGAAGTAACATGGTAGTAGGCTATAACAAGGCGGTGCTCTAAGAAAAATTGGAGAGCCCAGTGCTCAGAAACTGTGAAATCCACGGTGCCCAGCATATGCTTTTTATGAAAAAACTAAGATTCCTGGGTCTTCCAAGAACAAATGTAAGACGCTAGGAGCCACCAGGCGCTGCTAGACCACAGCCCTATATAAACTTTGTTTTTGTCTCAAAAAGGACATCAGTTTGCACTGGGCCATGATAAATCTCTTCTAGAGACACTAGATTTGATTTAAGATTTTGACCACTGGTTTGATTGCATCATACTTAACAAGGCAAAGCCACTTTGCACTCATACCAATGACAAGCACCATTACTTCAGTCAATGAGAAAGAAATTCTGAACATTCAATGTGCACAACAACCATCAAATCAATAGGTCACACCTTTGATGTTTGGTGTCACGTTGTAATTAGTAGCCACTTTTGTATTACATCATACCGTAAATATTTTATTCACCTACTTGTCTGTTATATAATTACTCACATTCTGTTACTCATTGATTGAAGATGGCATAAGCATGCCGAAACATGTTTCGCAAAAAAAGTTTATATTTCTTACAACTTAAAAGTAGTTGACATCAAGATTTTTCTTTTATACATTTGCTGCATACAGTATGCATGTTTTGTGCAGATTTTCTGCTTAAAATAAATTTTTTTCAGTCAGTTTATTTCTTCATAGTAGTTCCTCTAGTGGCACAACTCTCAAACCTTTTACTTTAAACACTGATTAAACAAAGGCCAGTACATATGACCATTGGAATTAGTTTTAATACCAACATTTACCTTAAAGTTTGTAAAAATGTTTGAAAACAACCTTTGCAGGAGGGTTATGATATTGTTATTGCTTGACTTCCATAAAGTGCTGTCAAAGTATAATATATTATTAAGGCCAAGATCAATCAGATAGATGAACATAAACCACAAAGTAAAAAAGCTTGCTTGTGATGTCCTAACTTGCACATCTCAATGTCACCTCCAACAACAGCTAAGATCAAGTGAAACAACTCTCAAACCTTTTACTTTAAACACTAATTTTTAAAAAAAAAAGCCCTGGCAAAAAATTGATCAATATTATTCACCATACAATTTGAATTCAAGAAAAATATGTGGACTGCTGCATTGCTCAATGATTAAACTTCAACTCAAAGCTTTAAAATGATTACAAATTAACCCAACTGACCAAAATGTGAAGTTATTTCCATTTTGTGATGACAAGGAGTGTATTAAATCTTAATAAAAGTGCATCATTTTGTCTCCCATATCTGTATTACCATCTTTAATATTGAGAGAATCGTTAAGATCAAAGTACATTGAAAGAAAATGTAAACTAATTACCATTGATAATGTTCTTGAACCACTATTGAACCAAAGGTGTTGAAGTAATCACTCAACGTTTTTCAAGAAATACAACATCTTCCAGTCAACTGATCATTTTCTCTGGACTGGGTTGAAAGTAGTTTATTTTTTTGTGAAGATAAACAAAAGATGTGTGAGGAGCACATGCTTGCAACAAGTGAATAATTAGAGATAAAGGCAATATAATTGATTGAAAGGACTAGCACGCGGTCTCAATAAAGAATGGCCAAAACAATAATTTCCTGAGATAAAGTGTAAAGAGATAATTCAATTAACAATAGAGTTATTACTTTGCACATATTGAGGCACTCTAACTGGAGTCTGCAGTACATGGTTATTACCCAGTAGTCCAGTCAGTAAGGCTAAATTACTTAATAACCAAACTTGTACAGAGTTTGCAGCTGGTTGGTTATGGAACATGACACTTAAAAAAGTAGTCAACCCACAAATGAATCTAATTGAGTAGAAATTGAAAAATGTATAATACCCTGGCTGTGAATAGACTCCTAACACAAATCTTAAGTAGTTACACCAATTCTTATGAGTTAAATCATTGAAAAGCTGTGAATCAATTTGTACTATGCAAATAACATGTGTGCCTGTGTACAAAATACAATAGAAACAATAAATTTGCATAACTGAAAACTCACTTGGATCAAACAAAAAGTAATTGGGATTAATGGCAAAACAGTCTAATAAATTTTCTCTACTTTTTTGAAATAAGAAACAAAGAATCTCTCGAAGAATGAAAATAGAACAGCTCCCACACCTTTGGGAGATAAAACACGGTGGGTAAATTCCGTTACAAATCCATGTTTGCTTAGCAAACTAACGATTAACCGTAATGCGCTTTAGATTTAAGCAAAAGCAAATAGAAAGAATTGGTATGAATGACTTTCCAAATCAGGCTTTCCATTTATGCACAATTTCATTTGCTTTCTGTGGAGATCAGTGACAAGTACATGAATGCAAAGATATCTTTACTTGTTTCAATTCAACGATCACTGTGGATTCAATGAATTGGGAGATCATCAGTCCTTTGACTTAAATTCAATTTTTTGACGCAATCTTCGATAAATGAACTTGGCAGAGCCATCAGAAGCTTAGGGAAGGAAATGGTTATAGCAGTTGAGGAAAAAAACAACGTGAAGTGATAATAACTGCCAATATCATATACCGATACTCACTTCCAAATAGAGTACAAGCTCTTAGATTGCTCGCAATAATCTATTCACGCTCATATTGTATATTAACCCCCGCGCAGCCATGTAATATCCTCTATTTATCTTCCAACTCCATGAAGTCAGCATACAACAATAAGGGAACAAAAACCCCAAAAACCAAAAGATCTATTCTTAAATCCGACACAGCAATTTCCTTTTGTTTCGGAAAGAACTACTTAAAACACGAAGGCAGCTAAGTGGTTTTCATACATGAGTTTCCTGAGATGCATGTGTGTAAATTAAACGCAAATGTGCGAAACTATTTCAGGAACAAGGTTTACGTTTGGAAAAAAAAAAGAGCCAATCATAACGAAAATTTTGAAATAAAACATAAAGAGCTCTTTTCTTGTAGGTTTAACGAAGATTTAGCTGTTAAAGGGAGAACAAAAAGGATAAAAGGATTCACTTGCGACACAACAACAATGTGAAGGAATCAAATGAAGCACCTTCGCAATGCCCACTGGCGACAAACTAGGCGCTCCTGATGACTATCGGTGTAAATACACAGTCATTGCAAATACTCTCTTAGCCACAAAGTCTAAGAAAATTATTTTAAGAAGCACAAAAAAGGAATGATGAAATTCATAATTTCCTCACTCTGGATGAAAAAGTAAATCGGGCCTCGCATTTGTAAATGCGAGAACAAACACAATTATTACGATTCGAAACTTAAGAAAAAAAAACTTCGCTTCGCACTTATAGAATATAATTTCCCATACCAACAGTAGTAATTAGGAGGTAGTCTAGTCTATAGGCATGAGGTGTGTGAAGCAAATCTTGCGTCAAATTGTTCAAACCGAAGACTGGCATCCAGAGTACGCCACCGTGATATACCAGCATGCTGACAAGATTAGGTCGCAAAATAAACTTCTTCCCGTCATGTAACACAGCTTCATCATCTCCTAACTCCTCACAACTCCATCAAACGCAGTTTATGTTTTGCTAATTATATCGAGATCGTTTGCTGGTGTTTTCATGGCACTACACAAGTAGAATTATAAGTGATACTATAGCGTGTGGTAACTCTAGCTCAGTATTTTCGTAGTGGCGATCAGTCGACACAATGACTAAATGACTAAAATAATCATTCTTTTGATTATTTTCCAAGGGATCAAACCACCTTAAACTATCGCGTAAGTTATTTTAGAAAGGGAAGATGCATTCGTTGCGTTTGCGGTGAAGTTTTATAGAAGCGATCCCCGCCGCCATGCCGCCATCAAAACCTACGGGTTCCTATTTGTTCATACTTCCACGATTCACACCTTTGATGAAAGCACAAATCAAAAATTAATCACTTAAGACTCCTTACCTTGAGCTAGAAGGTAAAGGAAGGCGAAGAAGATCAAGGAAAAGAGACGTCCTCCAACTTTCGTCGCCATATTGCTCAACTGCGAGTGGGACAGCCAACCATCGAGTTGAGTTCGATCGAAAATAGCTACAACAGAGCGGCAGTGACGTATTCTACCCCCTACTGAGACAAGTCTTTGGATCGAAAAACACGCCTAACTTAAAGGTCTTGAACTGTTTGCTTCGGCATCCAAAATTTAACACGTCAAAGCTCGTAATCCAACGATATTCGAATGAGGGAAGTCAGTGCAATGCAGCCGATATCCACGCGGAATTTGACAAGTATGCGACGGCTTGCGATGTTTGTACTTGCAGAAGAGTAATATGTTATGTGGAGAACAATAAACACTAATCATTCTTTTCATAGCGACCAATCACAGAACGGATTAGCGAATTCTTCAAGAATTACAAAATGGTGTTAAAAGAAAGCAGCCTTTTCACCGAATACAAATTCTCAATTATTGAGGGTTTCTTATCTCGTAGCCAAGGAAGAGAATGCGACTTACGCCTTTGTTCGACATGACTACGAAAACGGCCTCGGGCGCCATTTTGTGTGGAAATGTCTGCGGTTTCTTTCTCTTTGTTCGCAACGGATCGAATTGAGCTGTTCAAACTGAAACCGTGGCTCTACTCAACGTTAACGATTTACCATACATAAAATTCCGTTGCAAGATTTCATAGTACGTACTATATCAGCAATGGCTTTTCGCAGACTTTAAATTATCCTATTGATAACTAGGCGGATCAACTGATCAGCGATAACGATGTACAAGAGCCTCTGGAGAGCGAGCAAATATCTTGTCAACTCACTGTTTTTGTTGTTGTTTCAATAGCCTCAATTCACCAATTTTTCTACGATTTTAAAAAAACAATGCATGCTTGTTTAATATGCAAAAAATAAGAATAAAAAACCACTTCTAGAGAATGCTATTAGTCCAACCTGAAAATGAAATCTCAACTTGTATCATGAAATCTAGCTTCCTTAAAAAGCGACATTCTTGAGGAAAAGAGGTAATTTTCCAAAGAAACTGGTGCGGCGTATGACAAAATTTGGTCTGTTGAACTTGACTTGATAATGTTAAATGGCTACCTTAGAGAGGTTAGAAAGCTGACGTTTCCCGCGAGCATTAATCGTTGGTCTCTAGAGCGAATGGCAAAACAAAAGGACACTCTTTCAATTTATTGTTGCAACCAAGAGATTATGAACTGCAACTTGTTTCATTATATAATTATAGTTTTGTTATTTCTCTCGCCACTCTCTACTATATGCAAAGGAATTACAGTCAAAGTTGTTAGATATGCATTTTTTTTTCTACTGATTACAATTTTGTTCAGTCGATAAATGTTTTCTGACGGAAAATGAAGGTTTCGCGTGACAATGATTTTACCATAAGATGTTCACCAACATTTCTTATCTCCAACCATTGCATTTTCTGTTAGGTTCAGTACACGAGCCTGGAAAATTTTTTTTCTGCTTTCATTTAGATAAATATACTGGATTTAGACGTAGAATGCGCTGGCATTTTGAAGGATCTCTTTTCAGGCTTATCTGCTGAGCTGAAGGAACATTCAAACCCTTTTGCTTATGAGGGAAATTTCAGCCCGGCTAGCGAGCCTTTTGCTTTTTTCATGCCAGCAACTATTAATTTCGAAGAAAACTGAGCATTTAATTTCTATCCGGGAAAAATTGTCATTCCGACTATCGAGATCTCGGTGGTAAAAACGAAGATCTTGAGCCTTGCGCTTAAATGAATGCATCGCATGTTTTTCCAAAGAAAACAGTCGTATGTGCGGTGAGGGTCAACTGGCCGAGCCGGCCGGCGTGGCTAGTCGGGTTTATATTACTAACGTTGGTTTTTGTAAGAGGCCTTCAATTTTTACGTAATTCAATCACTCCGAGATTTAAAATTTCTGGCCACATGTTTACAAGTCAGTTTATTTCATAAAATTCAGAGATACTATATGTAAAGGAAAAATTTGTCCCCATGTGCTGTTTTCCCAACATCCTGGCGATGCACAACCGATTTTTCTCGATCCTTGCCATTCGCAAGATTTGCACTTACAATAAAATTTTGAAGCGTCCCGGCTTGGAAGAAGAGGTATGTCGGATATCATGACGGCGGGCTAAAATGATAAAAATAGAGACAATTAGTCTTAAGGGCAATACTAAAATATCGCAAACAACAGCAACCATGCCTTGCCTAACGTTCTCGAGATCATTTCTACAGCCGCTCTCAGCAGGTACTTCACAAACTTCATCAAACATCAGCTAGTCAGCTTTGCAGGAGACTTCTGACAAATTGCTCAATATCTCCTGAACGTATTGGTAGGTGTTTATCATGCGGTCTGGCCCACCGGCGACTTTTAAAGAAAAACTAAATTTGTAACTTAGATACGTTACAGGTATTCTTATCAAAAACTCGTCGCCAGTTCTCCTCGGTTATAGTATTTACAATCATCCAGACACATCATAATATCAAAGCTTGGTCGTGTGGTCACGATCACTTTTTACTCCTTTGTTCAAACTGTTTACTGCATAGCAACTATGCCATACGATACGTAAGAGGAATCTAATTCTTTCTCAGGGATGGTAACTTAACGCGCCAAATGTTTATCTTCGTGCGCCCACCCAACTTTTCTGTCAAGAACAGGAAACACATTGTCTGGATGATGTATATGAAATAAACAATGAGTGACCGTATGGAAATGTAATTTCAAATAGATTGACTCTCACAGGGTGTTACTTTGTTACTATTTTGCGTCCCAGTGGCCAGCAAAAGAAAACCTTGTCGGCTCACACATTTCTTTTAATATAACTACACGTAGCGCATTTAAATTCTTTCTGCTGCGTTAGGTTGTCACGTTCCGTCCTTTCCCCCAACAAACGACCAAGGACTCGGAGCCTTAATCATGTTAATGGACTCTTTCCGGTATCAAAATTGGCGCCCGACAGACTCTAGCAATTATCTCCAAGGAAAAATAATCCTCATAGAGTGAAACGGGTAAAATATACCAAAATCCCAATTTTATATAACTTAAGTTGCTTGAGAAATGACGCTCGGATATAGTTCACATTTACAATCTATAATTGTGTTTTTCTTTTTTTTTTTTTTTCATATATTCATACTACGTTTCTCTCAGCTGAAACAAGCTAAGCAAGAAAACACAGTTATGAACATTTAATTTTCATGGAAATCAGAAAGAGTGCTTCTTTTGTTGGTTTTTGAGACTTTTTTAGAGTTCCAAACTGACGACTGAAGCAGAAGTATCCATCTCCTAATAATAGATGAGCTGATACCGATGCTAAATACACGATATTGTCCAAACCGGTGTCAGATCGGAAGATATCAAGACCATTAAGAGGTATTTGAAGGCTTTCGATATTGTATTTGACCATAGCCATGCTACGTCTTTATCAGAGTGAAATGTTCCGCAAGCAACCGTGGACGATAATCCTACTCTTGTACGTTGGGTCAGCAGTGATCTAATCGGCCCAAAATAACGAATCTTGCCTCTATCAGTTTATATTCTTTATTAGAGCCTGCGTTCCTCTGGTCATCACATGTAGACAAAAAGCGGAGTTGCGCCGACGGTGAACCATGCGGTTGCGAATGACAAGGGACTGTCTATTGCTTAGGGGCGGAGGAGGGGGGACCCGATGACTTTGGGAGGGATCACATGGTTTTAAGGGGTAACGGAGGGTGGATCAGTCTTGGCCAACCGAGCGCGGAAAGGGGGTAGACCATAGAAAACTGACTGTCAATGAATTGCCAATGTTATCAATACACGACCAAAATCCATAATGACCATAATTACCGGTCCCTAATCAGTTTCGTTTGACTTGTTTGTAATTGTTGATACATCAATGGCCTGAGCTGAGCAACAATCAACAATAACCCTATTTTTGGTCAAACACATAAGGTAACATACCAGTCAACTCTATGTCCTTAAAACATCAATTTTGATATTGTAGAAAAACTCTGTGTTGTGTCAGGTGTTGATAATAATAATGATAATAATAATAATAATGGTTTATTAACAGATCCACTAGGTGGCTCTTCCCTGTTAAAAATACATCAATTACCGTGATTAAAATAAATCAAATTAAGTTATTCACAAATTACGCAATATGCAATTAAAAGTAGAAGTAAGGATGAAAGAATAAAAATTACAGTAAAACTAACTAATCGCTCTGTACTCTATTACATAAAAAATTCCTTGAAAGTCTTAAAAAGTTTCTGTAATCTTTACAGTTTCTAATAGATTCTGGTAAATTGTTAAATAGCTCCGACGCGTTGTCTTGGAAAGTGCTGTTTTCGGTCGGGACCACTAAATAAATCTAATTGAATTGCTTGAGCGCCAGTTCCTTGCGGCATTCCTGTTTTATTTTTTTAAGATAATCTGGCCAAATCTCAGTGTTATGCAAAGCTTAAGTTTTAAGTACATCCCGAAAGTACTTAACATAGTGACCGAGTACAAAACTTGCAGCAGCAAATTGAACTCGTTGCAAACGGCGAAGTAAGAATTGTGGTAAAGGGTAAAAAAACAGATCCGCATAATCTAGTTTTGATAAAATCAATGTTTCTACCAGTTGCTTTCTAAGCTCAAATTTGGCAAGGTATTTCAATTTTCTTAATATCGATAGAGTGGCGTAGCATCCAGATACCGTGTGCTTGATGTGATCGTCCCACTTAAGATGTTCATTGATGTGAACTCCAAGCAGTTTGCAAGATTTAATACGTTCTAGTTTATAACCACTGACTACGATGTTAGGATCATACTCGTCAAGGTGATGTATTCTGGACATTTGCGGGGTGGATAGAATCATAACCTTTGTTTTTATAAATAACCTTGATGAAGTTTTCCAATCTGCTTACAAACAACTGCATAGTGCTGAGACGGCTCTTCTCAGAGTCCGAAATGATATTTCGATAGCTTTAGATAATCATCAGTCAGCCATTTCACTACTTTTAGATTTGTCCGCTGCGTTCGACACGGTAGACCACACTATTTTACTTAATAGACTTGCTGTACGGTTCGGTATCACTGGCTCCACGCTCTCTTGGTTTACCTCCTATCTTTGCAATCGTTACCAGTTTGTTGGTATTAGGGGGGAGTGGTCTACACATCGCCCATTGGTATGTGGGGCTCCTCAGGGGTCTTTTTTAGGTCCCATACTCTACTTACTGTACACTTCACCACTCGGGGATATTGATGGAAGGTATAACATGGGTTATCACTTTTATGCCGATGATACCCAGTTGTACTTGTCCTTCGACTCCCGGGGTCGTGATGCGGAGGCTT